GAGCGTGGATTGATCGACTTTCATGAACTCAGCGTCCCACTTCTTAAGATTAATTTTGGAGGTCCCGTGCGACGAAGAATCAGCATCGGCGTGTTTCTTGCAATACTCTATCACTTTCGAGAGGATTTTGCCTTCGACGTTTATAATAGGGACTGCTTGTTTGACGTGTTTTTCTTTAGCAACTCTTGTCAATTGGAGTGCAGTCGCTTCATCAACCTCAAAGATTTCACCATCCGAGCTCTTCAACATAATCTTCTCCGACATCATATGTTCTTGTGGAGAGATTTGGGTAGTTGCATTCCTCTGATCCACGTGCATTACACAGAGGATTTTGTTCTGTGTATCAATTTGTGCCTGTTCGAGGTTAATAAAAAAAGTATAACGGTTTTCCTTTATTAAGGTTTTGAAATGACTACAATCAAACAAGTTTTTTTATGGAATCAAAACGAACCTGTATTTTGTTGTCTATGATCAAGCCTTCGAGTTCTTTTTCTAGGCTAGAGACGCTGGTCTTGAATGCATCATCCATCTCGCTCAAACCAACAGACACAACCGGCAGTGTGTACTGGATTAATACCTTCTTCCTTATCTGATAATAGAGTGTGTCAACGTGCTCGTGAAGGTGGATATCCAGAAGCATATACGCTTTGAGACAGTCTACATATTCCAGACAGTAGACAAAGCGACTGCAACAAGCAAAGTTAAACATAAGATTCTACGAGAATATAGTTGATAAAGGTTAATTTTGGATTATCCTTAGCATTGTAACATAGATAAGAAATTGGAAGAAAACAGAGTTGGTGTTGGGATAAGTTTGAAGAAGAAGACTTAGGAGACAAGCTACTTATTCCTATTTGAGTTATGACTTAGGGATTAGATTGTGTTTAGGAGTTATCTAGATACAATTCCTATTAGAATAAGGATTATCTCTTCTCTATATATATGAGTTATCAAAGTTGTGGTAACCTTAAGAGATTAGAGAGAGATTAAGGGTTTTAGAAAGCTTAAGTTTTGAGTTATTTTCTTAAGCAAATAAAGAGAGTTATTCTTTAAATTCTTGAATTCATAATCTTTCTCAAAATCTAGATTTGGTATCAGAGCTTGACGATCTTGGGTTTACACACACGAAAACTAAGATCATCAAACCATGAGTGAGATTGTTCCAACAAGCAACAAGAAGGAGGCTGTCCCCTCTTCTATTCAATGTCCAATGCTAAACAGTACGAACTATACTGCTTGGGCAATGAAGATGAGGTTGTTGTTGCGTGTTCATAAGGTCTGGGATACGATTGATCCTGGATCCACTGATATTGATAAAAACGACCTAGCTAGTGCCCTGATCTTTCAATCGGTTTCGGAATCTCTTATGCTGCAACTTGGACACTTAGACACCACCAAGGCTGTATGGGATGCGATCAAAACACGGAACCTTGGGGCAGAAAGAGTGAAAGAAGCACGACTTCAAACTCTTATGGTCGAGTTTGATAGATTGACGATGAAAGAGACAGACACCATAGATGACTTTGTTGGCAAGCTTTCTGAAATTTCTTCTAAAGCAACATCTCTTGGGGAAAGCATTGAAGAAACCAAGATTGTTAAGAAATTTCTTAAAAGCTTACCAATGCAGAAGTACATACAGATTTCGGCCACCCTTGAACAAGTTTTGGATCTCAAAACAACATCTTTTTAGGATATAATTGGGAGAATCAAAACTTATGAAGAACGAATAAGTGCTGCAGAGGTATCACAGGAGAATCAAGGCAAGCTTATGTATGCAAACTCAGAGTCATCATCATCCGGTCATGATCAAGAAGGAGGACAAGGCAGAGGTCGTGGCGGTTATCGAGGCAGAGGAAGAGGTCGAGGAAGGACAAATTACCAACGTGATACATCCAAAGTCACGTGTTATCGATGCGACAAGTTAGGACACTATGCGTCTAATTGTCCGGATCGCTTGCTCAAGCTAATCAAAGCTCAATAAGATCAAGAGAAAGCAGAAGATGATACACAAGAAGCGGAATCACTTATGATGCACGAAGTGGTTTTTCTCAATGAGAAAAATGTGATTCCAAAAGAGCTTGAGGCATCATCGGACAAGGTGTGGTATTTAGACAATGGTGCGAGTAACCATATGTCGGGAAATCATACTTGGTTCAAAACAATCGACTCAACAATCACGGGTAAAGTACGGTTTGGTGATGATTCTCGTGTCGATATCAAAGGAAAAGGGTCGATCTTATTTTTAACCAAAGGAGGACAACGCAAGGTTCTAACAGATGTCTATTATATCCCCGATCTCAAGAGTAACATCATTAGCTTGGGACAAGCTACTGAATCTGGTTGTGATGTGAGAATGCGAGAAGACTACTTGACAGTGCACGATCGAGAAGGAAATCTATTGGTGAAAGCTAACAGATCAAGGAATAGACTATACAAAGTAGATTTGGAGGTTGAACGCATCAAATCAAAATGTCTACAACTTGTTGCTTCTAACGAGACAGTTCCGTGGCATGCTCGTTTAGGACATATTAGCTCTCATACCATACACTCTATGGTAACCAAAGAACTAGTTGTTGGGATCTCTCGCACGACAAAGCCTACGGAACCATGTTCATCATGTTTACTTGGGAAGCAAGCAAGACATGCTTTTCCCAAATATACTTCCTACCGTGCATCAAGAATCTTGGAGCTTGTTCATGGAGATCTATGTGGACCAATTACACCCTCTACGGCTGCACATAAGAGGTACATCTTTGTCTTAATAGATGATCACTCTCGATATATGTGGTCCATTCTTTTGCAAGACAAAAGTGAAGCATTTGCAAAATTTAAGATCTTCACATCAAGAGTAGAGCAAGAAACCGGAACTTCCATCACTACTTTTCGCACGGACAGAGGAGGAGAATTTGTGTCTTTGGAGTTTAAAAACTTCTGTGAAGAAAAGGGAATCAATCGACATCTTACTGCTCCGTATACTCCTCAACAAAACGGAGTAGTAGAAAGGAGAAACAGAACACTTCTAGAAATGACACGAAGCATCCTAAAACACATGAGCATGCCTAATTATTTATGGGGAGAAGCTGTGAGGCATGCAACATACATCATCAACCGTGTAGGAACAAGATCTTTGGTGAATCAAACACCATACGAAGCATTTAAAGGCAAGAAACCTAACATAGAACATCTCAGAGTATTTGGATGTATATGTTATGCGAAAGTCGAAGCACCACATTTGAAAAAACTGGATGATAGGTCAAAGATGCTTGTTTACCTTGGCACGGAACCGGGATCTAAGGCATATCGACTTTTGGATCCAACACATCGGAAAATTATAGTAAGCAGGGATGTCGTGTTTAATGAAACAAAGAGATGGAAGTGGAGTAATTCAGAAGACCTTTCGATGGAACCGGGAACGTTTACTCTAAGCT